TCGTTGATCGTTATTATCGTTGCTATCGTTGTTATCGTTATCGTTGTTATCGTTGTTATCGTTGGCAGATTTCGCTTCGGATCGGGCGCGGTCGCCCGTACGGCCCCGAAGACGCTCGCGGACAGTCGGGGCGCTGGAGGAGGATCCTCTTTCCGTCTGGGAGGGGCTCAGTGTGCCTCGGCAGTTTTACAGTTTGCCTCGCATGTGGTTTAGTTTCCCGATGGGACATCGAAGTTTAACATCTGGAAAAGAGGGGCCTCGTTCCTTACTTAGGGTTGCTTAGGGCAACGCCCCGACTTACGTAGGGTCGATACCCCCAGGTGCCAACTTCAGCGTGGTCGGCTCATCGAATTTTATGGAAGATGCCCCGTGGCATTGCATGCACCGGCCGTTATCGTTCATGGACGACATGAGCAATGCAGCGGCATGTTCGGGACAGTGCGGCAACGCCATGCGGGAGAGCTCTGAAGGTTGCGACGACGGGAATGATCTCGACGGCGATGGCTGCTCTCATGCATGCGTGGTGGAAGCTGGCTACTTTTGCAGCGGTGGCAGTCAGGCAGCACAGGACGTTTGTGCGCTGACAGTGTGCGGGGATGGTCTGCGCTCTGGGGCGGAGGAGTGCGACGACGGCAACCTGGACTCCAGTGACGGGTGCTCGCCTACTTGCCTTGCAGAGCCAGGGTACGTCTGCACAGGCAACACGTCCTGTGCCCCCGTCTGCGGCGACGGGCGGCGCACGTGGTCCGAAGGCTGCGACGACGGCAACGTCGCGGACGGGGACGGCTGCTCGCACGCCTGTGCGATTGAGGCAGGCTTCACCTGTGAGGGTGGGACCCCATACGTCTCGGACGCCTGCAGCCCCATCTGCGGCAACGGGCAGCGCGTCGGCGCGGAGGAGTGCGACGACGGGAACACGGCAGACGGTGACGGGTGCTCCTCGGCGTGCGCAGTGGAGTCTGGCTTCTCGTGCTACGGCGGGAGCCAGAGCGCTCGAGACGAGTGCGTCAGGGCGGCCTGCGGCGATGGCGTTGTGGAGGGCACGGAGGAGTGCGATGACTTCAACACGCTTGGAGGGGACGGCTGCTCTGCAACCTGCTCGGCCGAGCCGCGGGTGCCCTCGTCGACGGTGGATTTCAGCGTCTCCGTTGAGGTGTTTCCGCTGCCACAGGCCTGCCGGATACACAACGGGGCCTCCCACCAAACAGAGGAGGACACGACATCTGGAGGGCTCTTCGCCCTCTGCCGCCGGCACCCCGGGCTGAGCCATCTTGGGGCTAATTTTCCAGGCCTCCTAGATAGGGTCCGGGTAGATGGCGTCGGAGGATCGCGCCGCACCGTCGATGCATCGGCGATGCGGTTCGATGTGGGGTCCGATTTGCTTCACGTCGACGTCGCTGATGCATCGCCGACGTCGACGATGCATCGCCGGTGCATCACCGACACATCGCCGATGCATCGCCGATGCGGTGCGATCCTCCGGCCCCATCTACTACGACCCCATCTAGGAGGCTTCTCGAGTGTTTTGGAGGCTATCGTGGACACCTGTTCGGTTTATCTTAGGGGTCTTTGGGGCCCATTTTGAGGGCATCCTGGGGTCAGTTTGTAGCCTTGATGCGTCGTTCTTGGCACTCTGGGCGACATCTGGGGGCCTTTTGGGGTCACCCCGGGCCGCCTTGGGCGATCGCGGGGGCTCTATATGGGCCGTCTTGAGGCGATCTTAGACGACGTGGGCGCCAAGCGTCTGACGGGCAAAAGCACTTGAAAACACTTCGCGGCAGCATGGCTTGCCATGTCGCGGGTGTCTTGGGACCCTCCTCGGCCATCTTATAGGCATCTTGGGGCCGTTTTCGGTCATTTTGGAATATTGAGGCTCTTTTCGGGGCCTCTTAGGGCCGTCCTGGGGATCTGTTGGGCCCACCTGGCCAGCTGGTGGCGCCCCTATTGGAATTTTGGGGTAACGCAGAGCGATCAAGAACCTCAGACCCCTCCCCCAGTTGTGAGTTGTACAAAAAGGATTGGCCGAACAGTATAACAGAATTTGTAGCCAGGTTGGACCCCACAAAATTTGTCTCCAGCAGCACATGTCGTTAATTAGATGTGGTGCAGTCTGCGAGGTCAATACATGCTGTGCACTCTATGTGTCGTGCAATCCTCGTGGTGCACTAGATCTGGTGCACTAGATCTACATATATGTGTATATAGGTATGCATGTCTATATGCGTTGTGCAAGCCACGCAGTGCAATTCAAGTGGTGCAATCAATGTGGTGCAGTCAGTGTCTGTCTGCAGTAGGTGTCCACTCCACTGCTCGCGCAAACATCCCACCCACCCACCCGCCACTTGGTTTGCAAACCTCTTGCGGCGGCGATTGCGATGAATGCTTGGCGCTGGCTGGTGAATCTGTGCGGCCGCGCCAGCCCGCGCCTGCGCGCGCGCGCAGCGGCCAGGTAGTTTGGCGCGACCGGCGCGGCCGCGGTGGTGCTGATCGCTCGGAACATCCCAGCGGGCACTTGGGTGCGAGTCGGCGGCTTGGGTGGGCGCGGTATCATGGCATCGCCGACACTGGGTAGACACGATGATGATGGTGACGCTGATGATGATGATGGTGATAGTAGCGATGTTGGTGACGATGCTGACTGCGACGACGGCACGGCCAGTGACGGCGCCGAGGCCAATCACGCTGACGACGATGACGGCGTCTTCGCGTCGGTGATGAAGGTTTTGGAAGGAGATCGAGATGCGCGCGCGGCAGAAGTGCGAGACTTGGCTCGCAAGGGATTATTTGACACGGATCGTGCCTCCCCAGCGCGCGCGCAAGGGCGTTCGAACGATCTCGACATGCGCGCGCGAAGCCCCCTTAGTCGCATGTTATGGAATTCAAAAAGAAACGCATGGTTTTCTTCCAGAATTCGCAAGATCGCGCGCACGCTTTTGTTGAACATCCGCGTTGCGAAACCCTGTGATTTTGTATGTTTTTTTGTGGGCGCTCAATTTTGAAAACCCCGGAACCGGAGGTCTGCGAAGCATGTCGGCATGCGCGCGCGACGACGCGCGCGCGCACTTCGTTTCAGTTTGTTGCAGAGGATCCTCGCGACGGCACCCGCGCAAGGGCGTTCGAACGATTTCGACGCGCGCGCGAACTCCGTTTGGTAGCATTTTAAGATTTTTTTTTTACAAAAAAAAACGCATGGTTTCCCCAAAAATCACAAAAACGCACGCGTATGTTACATATATATATATATATGTATATATATATATACATATACATACATACATACATATGAATGTACAAGCCGCGTTGCGAAACCCTGTGTTTCTGTATGTTTTGTGGCACTTGAGTTTGAAACCGCTGCGGCACCGGAAGTTTTTGGAGGTTTCCGGTACGCGCGCGCGACGACAGGCACGCGTGTATTTCGTTCCGTTTTTTGCACAAGACTTGAAAACGGACGATTCGTTATCAACGAGTGCGCGCGCATAGTATAAGAAATGTGGACGAAGGGCCACGATCACATATGAATGTCCACTCGAAGCGCGCAACGGATAAACCCGGGGGGGTGACGGGGATAGAATCCAATTTCTTCAAAGAGATGAGATTTCACCACCTGCTCAACTTGAGGTTGTCAATTTCACTGCTCGCGCAATCCCTCCCGCCCACCCGCAACTTGGTTCGCGAAACCCATGCGGAGGCGATTGCGCTGCGTGCTGGGTGTTGGCCGTTGCATCTGCGGCCGCGCCAGCCTGCGCATGGTCGCGCGCGCGGCGGCCAGCTAGTTTGGCGCGACCGACGCGGCCGCGGCGGCGTTGACAGCCGGGCGTGCCCCAGCGGGCACTCCAGAAAGAGTCGGCGACATGGGCGCGCGCGGTATCATGGAATCGTCGAGAACGGTAGACACGGCGGTGGCAGTAGCGACGCTGGTGGCGATGTGGACACAGACGACGGCACGGCCAGTGACGGCGCCGATGATGATCGCGCCGACGACGATGACGGCGCCCTCGCGTTGGCGATGAAGTTCGCGAAAAGAGTTCGCCGCGCGCGGGGCCGACGCGCGAGAGCATGGTGGGCCGACGCGCGAGAGCGTCCCAGCGCGCGCGCATGGGCGCTCGAATGATTCCGGCACGCGGCGCGCGAGGCCAATTTGGCAGGGCGGCCTGCGCGTTGCATAGCATGCAACAAATTGTTGTCTTAAGGATTCGCAAGAGCGCGGGCGCGGGCTTGTTTGTTGTTGGAAAATTGTCGCAGCGAAAGCATGTGTTTTTGTCCTTGCATGGCATCGGCGCGCTCCGTTCTGAAGTCCTTGTGAGGCCAACAGTTCTACAATGATTTCGGCATGCTCGCGCGACTCGCGCCCGCGCACTTCGTCTCATGTTTTGCGAAAGGGGTTCTCGCGACTGCGCGCGCGAATGGGCGTTCGAGCGATTTTGACGCGGGCGCGAAGCCCACTTGGTAACGCGGCATGAACATTGTTTGCTGTTCTTCCAGAGATCGCAAGAGCGCGAGCGCGAGGTCTTGCCGTCCATATAAGTATATATCATTTAAAAGTGAAGCATGAAAATCCGCGTTGCGAAGCCCAGGGGTTTTAGATGGTTCGTGCCGCTCGATTTCGAAACCTTCGCGCCGCTCGAAATGTCGTCAATGCTTTCGACGCGCGCGCGCGACAGCGCGCGCGCGCTTCGCCCCGTGTTCTGCAAGGGGTCACATGCAACTGTTGATCTGTTGATTTTCTATAAGCGAGCGCGCATTGCGTGTTGTTTTTTTGTTTGTTTGTTGGTTTGTGCATTTAGCTGTTATTTTTTTTGTGTTGTTTCTTCCTCGGGGGGGTGGGGTGGCGGCGGGCGGGGGGGCGGGGGGGGGGAACGACGCCTGTTTAGCTGGAATGATATGAATCTTTTCTAGGATGGGCGATGGGGCAGAATCATATTCAAATTGCAATGCGAAGAGTTGGGCCGGCGTGTAACCCCGGGCGGGGGCGGGGGGGCAGACCGTCATTTTTTTTTGCTTGAATGGAGGATCAATGCAGCGCACTGCGCGCGGCGCAATCTACGCGGCGCAGTGCGCGTCGCCGACTTGAAGTCGCCAACTCTACTGCTCGCGCAATCGCCCCACCTGGCCGCCCGCCACTTGGTTTGCCGAACCCATGCTGCGGCGATTGCGCTGGCTGCGCGGCGCTGGCGGCGCCTCGCCGCGGCCGCGCTAGCGCGCGAAAGCTCGCGCGCAGAGCGGCGAGGTAGCCTGGCGCGACCGACGCGGCCGCGGTGGCGGCGACCGCTAGGGGCCCCCGGCGCGCCTCGCAGGCGCGCCGACGCGCGGGCTGTTCAGCGGGGGTCGGTGGCTCGGGCGCGCGCGGCGCTCGAGGGGCGTCGACAAGGGGAGGCAAGATAATGTTTGCACCGATGTTGGTGACGACGGCGAAGCTGGCGGCGGCGAGTCCACTGACGGCGCCGATGCTGATCGCGCCGATAGCGACGTTGGCGCCCGCGCGTCGGCAATGAAGGTTCCAGGGGGAATTCGACATGCGCGCGCGGCCGACGGGCTCGAATGGCCCGCGCGGCCCCCCTCGAGAGCATCGCTCCCCCCCAAAAAAGCACGCGCGCAAGGCGCCCAGATGAGTTGGACATGCGCGCGCGAGAGGTCCGTTTTGGTGGACGTGATGAAAAGTAGATTGGTTTCTCGAGACATCGCAAGGGCGCGCGCACTTTTTCATTCAACATGCGTTTGTTTGTCGAGGGTTGCGGCGCGCGCTAATGACGACGCGCTCGCGTGCACTTTGCCGGCGGCCTTTCTGTTCGCGAGGATCCTGGGAATTCATGGCTTGCGATAAGCGCGTGCGCGCGTCGTGTTTCGCGCAGAGGATGGTGAGCGTGTGTGGGGTGGGGGGTGGGGGGGGGGGTCGAACTTGGTTTGGCTGGGACGTCGCGGGTTCATATTTCAAATGAACGGCGGGGCAGAGTCGCGCGTGCACTGCGCGCCCCCGGGCGGGTCGAGAATCCCGGCCCGGGGGGGGGGGGTAATCCGAAGTCTTTCTATTCGAAGTTAGAATCTACGCGGTGCAATTCGCAAATGCTCGCAGTGAGTTGCCGACTCCATTGCCCGTGCAATCGCCCCGCCCACCCGGGCGCAGTTTGGCGCGCAAGACCCTTGCGAACGCGATTGCGATGCGTGCTCGGCGTTGGCTGGTGCACGCTGGCGGCCGCGCTGGCCCGCGCATGGTCGCGCGCGCAGCGGCCGGCAAGCGCGGCGCGACCGACGCGGCCGCGGTGGCGCTGACCGCCAGGCGCATCCCAGCGGGCACTCCAGTGCGAGTCGGTGCCTTGGGCGGGCGCGGCACCATGGCGACGCCCACGCTGGTAGACGCGATGGCGAGAGTAGCGATGACAGCGGCGATGGCGGATGGCGGCGACGACGACGTCAAGGCCAACGACGGCGCCGACGTCGATCGCGCCCGCCGGCAGCGATGACGACGCCCGAGCGACGACGAAGGAGTTCGACGTGCGCGCGCGGCCGACGCGTGCGAGTGGCCCGCGCGGCATTATCTGAAACGGGCCGCGCCCCCCCCCGCCCCCCGCCCCCCCCCGCGCGCGCGGGCGCCCGCGCGAGTTCGACATGCGGCGCGGGAGGCCCATTCGGCAGCATACGATGACCATGTTGAAAAACCAAGTGGCCCCCAAAAGACTTCGCAAGAGCTCGCGCGCAGGGCATTTGTGTAAGCTGACGTTGTAAAACAAGTGTGTTCTGTTCTTTCCATATGCAAAAGTGTTCGGGGCGCTTGTTTTGGGAATCCGGACGGAACCGAAGTTTTGCGAAGGATTTCGGGGCGCGCGCGCGACGGCGCGCGCTCGTGCACTTAGCCCCATGCGTTGCACGGGATTCTTGCGACAGAACGCGAGCGCAAGCTTCTTCTGAAAGTCCTTGTTGCAAAACAATGTTTTACAAGTTTTCAAACCCTGCCGAGTCGCGCGGTTTTTGATGGATTGTGGGGGGCGCGCGCGTCGACGCGCCCGCGTGCGCTTCGATTTTATTTCTGAAATGGGAACGCGTGTGATTTTCTCATGTACAAATCTGCGCAAAGGATTATTGGCAACTGATAATCTTTGGTGAGCGAGCGCGCGCGCGTGGCAACGTTTGCCAGGGGCTAAGTGGGGGGTGGGGGGGGCGGGCGCAGGCCCACCATGGATGATGCGAATTTCAATTTGGGATGGTCGCAGGGGCAGAAGCATCTGCAAATTGCAGTGCGAGGGAGGGGCGCCGTTCATTCCGAGACGGGGGGGGGTCCGGGCGGGGGGATCCCAATATTCTCTTGGACCAGAAATTTACAGTATGCGATGTAATCTTTTCCGTGCAAGCTATTTGGTGCAATCGCCTTGGTGCGCTCTACGCGCTGTAGTTAGACTCGAAAGACTTGGAGTTGTCAACTCCACAGCTCGCGAAATCGCCCCACCCGCCCACCCGCAACTTGGCTTGCAGAACCCATGCGGCGGCGATTGCGATGAGTGTTTCGTGATCGCTGATGCACGTCTGCCGCCTTAGCCCGCGCATGCTCGCGCGCGCAGCGGCCAGCTAGTTTGGCGCGACCGACGCGACCGCGGTGGCACTGACCGCTGGGCACTTCCCAGCGCGTCTTGCAGGCATCGCTGTTGCGCGGGCACTTTCGTGCGCGTCGGTGACTTGAGTGAACGCGATACCATGGCGACTTTGACAGCGGATGATGAAAGTAGCGATGATGGTGGCGACGATGACGATGACGACGACAAGGCCAACGACGGCGCCGATGCTGATCATGCCGATGGCGATGATGGTGTCCCCGCGTCGGTGATACCCGTTTTTGAAGGATTTCGACATGCGCGCGCGCCCGACGCGCGCGAGTGGCCCGCGTGGTATTATTTGAAACGGGCCGTGCCCCCCCAGCACGCGCGCAATGCGTTCGGATGAGTTCGACATGCTGCGCGGGAGGCCCATTTAGCAGAGTGTGATGACCATGTGTGATGGCCGTGTTGAAAGATCCACATTTAAACAACGAGATTTCGCAAAAACGAGCGCGCGCTGCATTTGTTTGAAATTTGATGTTGCAGAGCCATGTTTTTTTCTCCGTGTTCGGGACACGTCGTTTTGACTGGGGGACGAACATTGAGGTTTGAAGGATTTCGGGGTGCTCGCGCGACGACGACCGTGTGTCCATTTCGTCCCGTTCATATGTAAGGGCTCTTCAAACTTGCTGATTTTTGATAAACGAGCGTGTGCGCACAACACTACTGTTGCAAAATATGGCGGGGGGGTCGATACCGGCTTGGGTGGGACGGTACGAGTGCATATTTAGGATGGGCCATTGGGCAGAATCAGGTTTACACTGCAATGCGAAATGGCGGGCGAATAACCCCACAGGGGGTAGATTCGAACTCTCTTTTGAAGAAGAGAACCTGCGACGGGCAACGACGGGACGACAGGGCGGCGAATGCGGCCAGATAGCCGCCAGACCGAAGACACGACCCAGACGACGGGCGGCGACGAGGCGGCGACGGAGGCGATGGCGGCCAGATAGCCGCCAGACCGGAGAACACGGCCCAGACGACGGTCGTCGACGAGGCTGGGGCGGGGCAGCGACGGCGGCCACGTAGCCGCCAGATTGGAGACACGGCCCACGTCGTTAGAACCGAAGTACGAACTTCTAAATGCAATCGTTTTTTGGGAAACGAGGCAGCATCCCAGCAGCAGGTTTCATTGCCTTGCGGCTCCAAGAGGGCTGGCGGATACAATCTGCAACACACGACCCTCACTGGCGACGTGTACAACACAACGAATGTTAGCATCAGTATTCGTGTTCATCACGGCTTTTTGACGGTGGAGCCCTTGATCGAAGCGTGGGGGTATATCGGCAAAGCAGATGCAGTGCCTGATGCTTTGATCTACCAGGAGGCAGGGGTCGTCTTCTCGCCTTTCGCCCTAGAGCTTTCAGAGACCGTGATGTCTGGCACTGCAATCTCCGTCGACGACTTCCTCCGGCGCTCCCTGTACGTCAGGCCACAGGCGAACTTTGCTGGGTACGCGCGTGTTGACGTCGAAATGTTGTCCGGGGTGCGCTTGAACTATGGCGCCGATGCCTGCAAGGTTCGCCGGCTCTGAAGAGTGACCCCTCTCCACAGCGGCCTGTGGAGGAGGAGCAGGAGGAAGAGGAGGAAGAGGAAGGGGAGGAGGAGAAGGAGAAGGAAAAGGAAAAGGGAAAGGAGAAGGATGCGGAGACGCTCAGGGGGAGGATGCACAAGAGGAGGGGAGAGGAGGAGGAGGAGGAGGAGGAGGAGGAGGAGGAGGAGACGGAGACGGAGGAGGAGGAGGAGGAGGAGGAGGAGGAGGAGGAGGAGGAGGGGTGCAGGCCACAGGGGTGCCCCCAGCACGAGCCTGCGCGCTTAGACCTGGCCCCACCCCGGGGCCCCCTTGATGCCGCGCACCAAGGGCCACTCTTGCCCAGGGTCACTCCCCAGGCATGCGCTATGTCTTGACTTGTTCAAGGGGGGCTCCTCCTCCTCCTCCTCCTCCTTCTCCTCCTCCTCCTCCTCCTCCTCCTCCTTCTCTTCCTCCTCCTCCTTCTTCTCCTCCTCCTCCTCTCCTCCTCCTCCCCTCCCCAGAAGCCCCAGCTCCTTCCCCAGGGTCGGTGTCCTTCCTCCTGGGGCGTTTGCTTTGTTTTTCTTCACGGCCCCAGGGGCCGGCATGGGCCTCCAGGGGCCAGCAAACGGCCAAACTAGGGGGCCACACGCGAACCCTAGCCCCCACCCCCCACGATTTCTGAGGGGGAGGGCGGGGTTCACTTCGTTCCGGAGCTCCCGAGCGAAGTGAACCCCACCCCCCCCCCTCAAAAACTCGTAGGGGGTAGGGGTAGGGGTAGGGTTCGCATGTGGCCCCCTACAAACATCAACCCCCAGACCCCCGACGTCGTGACCTTTTCGCAGCGTCGGCCCCCAGAGGCCTGGACCTCTTCCCTGCGACCGGTCTCTCCTCCCGAGTCCTTTTGGTGACGGCCCCGAGGCCCAGTCAAGGCCCCCCCCCCCGAGGCCGAAGGCAGCGAGAACCCTCCCATGGAACAATTTTTTTTTTCCCCACGCGCGGGGGCGGCCTGGGCCCGTCGTGTTTTTTGTGCGGCGTGCGCCGCCGAGCACGTCCGGGTCCTGCCCGGGGTCGCCCTCGCTAGGGGAACAAAAAGTACGGTTCCCTCACCCAGGGCAGCGCTTCGTGGCCCCATAGGGAGCTCCACCGAAGGCCCCAGTTGGGGGGGGGGCACATGCGGCTCCCCCACCCAGGGCAGCGTTTCGTGGCCCCATAGGGAGCTCCACCGAAGGCCCAAGTGGGGGTGGGCGCATTCGGTTCCTGGCATAAGCATAGAAACTCGGAGGTCCGCGCGGATTTCTCGGATCGGCGCTGGGGCCCCTCCCTGGCGCGCAGAGCGCGCCGGGGGCGGCGCCGGAGGCGCCGCCGGGGGGCCCCGGCGCCGACCCGAGGAATCCGCGCGGACCTCCGAGTTTCTATGTTTATGCCCCTTTTTGCTCCCCTAAGCATGTCTGGGCCCTGCCCGGTGTCGCCCTTGCGCCGACAAAAGGTGACCCTGCCGGTCCTCGTCACCGACGTCTTCGACGACGCGCCCGCCTTCACGGGCAGCCTCGGCGAGGCCGGCCTGGCCTGCACGGCGGGCTCGGAGGGGTGCGCGCTGGAGGGCCTGGGCGTCTCGGACCCGGATTGCCCCCGCGCGGTCGCCAGGGCAACGATGCGGGGGGAGGGAGGAGGAGGAGGAGGAGGAGGAGGAGGAGGAGGAGGAGGAGGAGGAGGAGGAGGAGGAGGAGGAGGAGGAAGAGAAGGAGTTAGAGGAGGAGGAGGAGGAGGAGGAGGAGGAGGAGGAGGAGGAGGAGGAGGACGAGGAGGAGGAGGAGGAGGAGGAGGAGAAGGATGTGGAGACGTTCAGGGCAGGATGCACAAGAGGTTCGTGTTCGGGTGCGGGTTCGAGGTTCACGTTTTCGGCGTTTTCGTCGGTTCTCGGCGTTTTCCCAGCCTTGGGGTGCCTTCCAGCAGCTGCACCTCGCCGAGGGCGTTCCAGAGGTGCCCGGATCGTCCCGAACGGCCGCCGGAGGCATGAGTTATGACCTGAACTACAAGGGGAAAAGCTAGGGGGGGATGCATCGACCCCCAATTGTCCATGGATCGCCGATCAGGGCTTGATACTACCAGCCTGGAACATATTCTTATCCTTCTGATTGGCATGAACCGATCTCGATGCCGATCTCAAGGGTTCCCTCAGTTTCCGAGGGCGCAGCCCTGAGGTTGTCATCGCCTCTGGGCGTGCCAATCTTAGGGATCGGGATCACATCGAGGCTGATCATGATAGCTCACCCCGCCCAGGACCGTCCTGTTTCGCCGTCGAGGGCCTGTCGCCGATGCATCTGCGATGCGTCGCCGATTCCAGGTCGACGCGTCCCCCTCTGAGCGGGTCCCCCCCCTCTACAGTCGGGCCGGATTGTTACGGTAGGTTCGCGTCGTGTCGACCGGCGGCGACCCCGCCGCGGGCGTTCAAGGTTGAACGCCGCCAGTGGCCCAGAATCGGCCTATATGGAACGATCGAGCGATCCACAGTCGCCGATCGTTCAAGGTTGAACGATCCACGCGGAGTCAGAAACCAACGCCGGGGTCGTCACGACACCAACCTGACGTAAGTCGACCTTGCCAAATCAAGGCCACCCTTGTGTCTTGCGGCCGGCGACCCGTGCCTCCTGCACTCCTGTGGCAGGGTGGCCCTCGCAAGGGTCTTGTGTCCTCTCGCGTGTCCTGTCCAGCCAAGTCCGACTGTGTTGCTGCCCCTGAGGTGGACGGCTCCTGCTACCTGCGACTCTCCCTCAACGCGTCCGCCGGCGGCATGCTCCTCCTGGGCCGCTCCATGGTGCCCGCCAGCAACCTGTCGGACCTCAAGGTCCCCAGGAGTCACCGTGCGCATTCCTCTACTCGCAAAATTCCTACTCGCAACGTCTGAAAAAAAAACATCCAAAAAAATCAAGCCGCCCTCTTACGTAATGCGTAAATCCCCCGCGGCGGATCCAGGCCATTTGCAAGTAGTTACTTTCAGGAGGGGAAGAAACACACAGACACAAGTAACCGTCGATTCCCCAAAAAATAAGGGGAAATGTGGGAAGTGGGGGGAAGACAAAAACCCAGAACATGTAAGAAAATATAGGGCATAGTTTTATTGGGGTGTATTTATTTTGTGTGTCCTGGGGCCCCTTCACACTCTGCGAGCAGTGGAGGGCGCCAGGGCCAGGCGAGGCTCGGCAGCCGGCCTCTGCGGGAGGGGAGGAGGAGGAGGAGGAGGAGGAGGAGGAGGAGGAGGAGGAGGAGGAGGAGGAGGAGGAGGAGGAGGAGGAGGAGGAGGAGGAGGAGGAGGAGGAGGAGGAGGAGGAGGAGAGGAGGAGGAGGAGGGAGGAGGAGGGGGGGGGGCCCCCGTCGCCGTGGCCGGGCGCCTCCCTCGGAGAGCTGGGCGCGCCTCCTCGGACCCCCCCGGGAGCAGGGGGCCCGTGGGCCGAGGCCGAGCTGCTCATAGCTGCTCCTCGTCCTCCTCCTCCTCCTCCTCCTCCTCCTCCTCCTCCTCCTCCTCGTCCCCCTGCCTGCCTCTGGACAAGCCCCGCTCCTCCTCCCCCTCCTCCTCCCTTTCCCCCTCCTCCTCCTCCTCCTCCTAAACCCTAATCAGGACGCGCGACTTTGCTCAGGGTGTCCTTGCGTCCTTGCTCTTCCTTGCCCTTGCGTCCTTGGGGTTGTCGTCGTCCGCCGCCCCAAAAATCCCAACGTCGGCTTCCAAGGGTCTTGCGTCCTTACCGCGCGTCCTTATTGGGGTTTTTGACTGTAGCTGCCTCGAGGCGCCCGTGTTGAAACGCGGCACGTGCCGTGTTCTCAAAGCGTCCGTGTAAACACGCTGCGTGTTGGCCTGGCGCATGTTGGCCCACGTTCTGGCGGACGTCTCGCGCCGGGCCTGCGTGCTCGGTCTGCGTGTGGAGTGCCGCATCGGCACGCTACCCGCTGCGTGCTACGTCCGTGGACCGAGCTTGAGCTGCCGTCGTCTCAACTCGTCTCCTCCCTCCGACAAGGGCCACGGCCCGGGCCTGAACGCGGCGCTGCAGAGGGTCCGGTACGTGCCGCCAGCGGTGCAACCGAGCGGCGGGGTCGTGGAGATTTTTGCGCTCCTCGAGCGCGTGGTGCTGCGGACGAACGCGACCCCCGCAGCGCTCCAGAGTGCCTCGGCCGTGCTTGCCATCCAGGTCTCCGTCCCGATGGCCGACATGGCGCCTACTCTGCGGCGTGGCACGGGGGAGTCCTTCCACGGCTCCGTTTTCGTCGCCCACGGGCCTCAGCCTTTCGTCATCGACGACATCGTGTTCGAGCACTACGGCACTGGTGGCGCAGCTGACAAGGTTTTGATAACCCTCGAAGTCTCACGAGGGTACCTGTTCCTCGGGACGACCGACGGCACCTGGCTGGAGGACGGGTCGGCTGAGGGCACCTCGAGGCTAAAATTCCGTGCTAATTCAATCGATTTGGCTTCTCTCTATCCAAGACGCCTACGACGTCACCGCCGCCCCCTGCCTTTTGGAAGAGCCTACGTGGCCGAACGTTGCGACCAGAGCTCGGCCGAGCTATCGAGCTACGTGTTCCCCTAGCCGTTGTGGAAACCCTTCGGAGACACGTGGTGGAGAAAGAAGAAGAGGAAGAGAGGGAGGAAACATGAGAAGGAAGCACTCTTGTGGCCTCCTGGGAGCTTCCTTGGGGCCTCTTGGATGGTGCCTCCTTGGGCTTCTTGCGAGCCTTTGGTGGCTCCTTGGGACGCTTGTTAGCAGTCTGAGGCGTTCCTGGCCAGTCTGACGCCGTTCGGAGCCGTCTTGCGGGCCTCTCTGGGTCGACTTGGGGCCTTCCAGGGGCGCTTCAGGGCCGTCTTGGAAACCATTTTGAGCGTCTTGGAGGTCTCTTGGGCCGTCCTTGGGGCCCTCTTGAGGCCGTCTTGGGTGTCTTTTGGGCCGTCATGGGGCCATCTCGGAGGCTTCTGGGCGCTCTTTGGGCAATCTTGGTGGCCTCTGGGGCCGTCCTTGGGCCGTCGGAAAGCCGAAAATGAGCAAACGCCCACACCCTTGAAACACCTGCTGAAAATCACTGTCTTCGGGACTTCCTGGAAGTCCTCTTGGAGGCCTTTTGGGCCGTCTTGCAGGCCTCTTGGCCCGTCTTGGGCGAGCTGAAGTCCATCTTGGGGGCATCTCGGCCCGTCTTGGAGACATCTTGAGACCGTCTTGGAGGCTATCTTGGGCCATCTTGGCCATTCGGGAGGCGTCTCAGCGGCCATCTTGGCCATCTTGGTCGTCTCGGGACGATGTGTTGTGCACGTTGAGGTCGTTTCGAGGCTCTCCGGGTGGCTGGCGGAATCGGTCGAAGGCCCATTGGACATGTTTGAAAACAAGCCCAAGACACCACAAAATTTGGCACGCCGTGCACCTGTGTGGCACGTCAACAGGGGGCGGCGGATCGAACACGCCTACGGCGAATCACCGCCGCCCCCTGCCCTTCTGGAAGGGCCTATGTGGCCGAACGTTGTGGCCAGAGGCTTGCCAATCTATCGGACCATGTGTTCCCCGAATCGGTTTGGAAAGCGTTCGGGGAACACGGTGGGGGAGGAGGAAGGGGAAGAGAGGGAGGAAGAAGGAAAAGGGAGGAGGAGGCCTCTTGGGAGCCTCTTGGGCTACTCTAGGGTTTTATTGGGCCATCTTTGCGGTCTAGGAGGCATCTTGGGACTGTCTTGGAAGCCATTCAGGGGCTATATTTGGGCTTCTTGGGGCCATCTTGATCATCTTGGACGCATCTTGGAGGCCATCTTCGGCCACGTTGGCCGTCTTCGAAGCGTCTTGGGACCGTCTTGGAGACCATTTTGTCCGTCTTGGAGGAATATTTCGTGGACTTTGAGGTCCTGTATGGTCTCTCCGGGTCCTCGTGGAGGACCTCTTGGAGGCCTCTTGGGCCGTCTTGGAGGCCTCTTGGGGGCCTTTTGGGCCGTCTTGGGCAATAGTGACGCCATGTTAGGCCGTCTTGGAGGCATCTTGGGCCGTCTTGGAGGCATCTTGGTGGGCGAAGCTATCGGACCATGTGTTCCCCGAGTCGGTTTGGAAAGCCTTCGGGGAACACGTGGGGGAGGAAGAGGAAGAGGAGGAGAAGGAGGAAAAAGGAGAAGGGGGAGGATGCTTCTTCGGAGCCTCTTGAGGCACTCTTGGGCTCGATTGGGTCATCTTGGGACCGTCTTGGAGGCCGTGTTGGTGCTATCTTGGGCTCTCTTGGGGCCTCTTAGGGCGTTCCTGGCCCGTCTGACGCCGTCGGGAGCCGTCTTGGGGCCTCTCTGAACCAGCTTGGGGCCCTCTTGGGGCGCTTCGGGCCCGTCTTGGAGGCCATCTTGGGCGTCTTGGAGGCCTCTTGGCCGGTCTCGGGGCCCTCTTGGGGTCGTGGTGGCCTCTTGGGCCGTCATGGGGCCATCTTGGAGGCCTCGTGGGCGATCTTGGGGCGATCTTGGGGGCCTCTTGGGCCGTCTTGAGCCGTCGGAATGTGGAGAAGAAACGAATGCCAAAATCCTTCTAACACATGGAAATTCAATGATTTTGGCCTGTTCGGGTCCTCCTGGAGTACCTCTTGGAGGCCTCTTGGGTCGTATTAGGCCGTCTTGGAGGCTTCTTGGGCGAACTTGGAGATATCTTGGACTCTCTTGGGCCGTCATGAGGCCGCCTTGGACCATCTTAGGCGGACTTGGAGGCCATCTTGGACCATCTTGAGGGCCATCTTGGGCCAGTGTGGCCATCTTGGAGGCCATCTTGAGCTGTCTTGGAGGTTTTTTTTTCTGGATTGAGGTCCTTTCCGGATGGCCGGCGGGACGCGCCCGAGCCCCAGGGGAGTTCTTTTGGAAAGGAACCAAAACCAACAACGATTGGATTTGGCACGCCAGGCACCCCTCTTGCAAGCAACAGGGGGCGGCGGATCTAGTGGCCTTCGGCACATACTGCCACCGCGCCTGGGTCGCTGACAAGAGGCATCGTAAAGGCCTAGTGGGGTCTCTTGTACGGTCTCTGGGACGACCACGTTGCAGTCTCTTGGATGCCCCTTGGGGGCCTCCTGGGGACCTGTTGGGGGCTTATGGTGTCCTCATTGGGCGTTTCGTGAAGGCCCGGAGGTTGTCTCGCGGGCCATGTTGGGGTTGAGAGAACCCTCTTCGAGTTGCCCTTCTTGGGTCTACTAAGGGGCCGTCTTGGGGGCCTCGTGGCTCTTGGGGTATAGGTTATAGGTGACGTCTTGGGGCCATCTTGGGAGCCTCTGGGGCCGTCTCGAACGCTTTTTAAGGCCAAAGTGGCGAGCTGTTGAAAACCAGAGGTTTGTTCCCAACCCTCCTGTGCAGGGTTCATTTTGAATAGAGCGCTGCTCGTGCGCTTCCCTCCCCACCCCCTCCTCGGCCCGCCTCTTCCTGCATCCTGTGCGTCCTCCTGCACCTGGCGTTTCCTGCTCTGGTGCTGGACACTGCGCAGCCGTCACGACTTACGCGGGCTCCTGGGAGGCACGGCGGAAAGCAGGGCAGCGCAGATCACATCGAGACCTCGCGGCTCCCTCGAGGGCTGTGCGTTGCGCAAGTGTCGCCACCATCGTGGGTTGCTGGCAGGCACGGCGGAGTGCAATGCTGCGCGGATCACGGAGAGACCTCGCGGCTCCGTCGGGGGCTGCGCATTGCGCCAATGTCGCCATTGTCGCAGGCTCCTGCGGGGCACGGCGGAGGTGCAGGGCGGCGCAGATCACTTCGAGACCTCGCGGCTCCCTCGGGGGCAGCGAACTGCGCAGCTGTCGCCACTTTCGTGGGCTTCTGCGAGGCACGGCGGAGGTGCAGGGCGGCGCAGATCACTTCGAGACCTCGCGGCTCCCTCGGGGGCAGCGAACTGCGCAGCTGTCGCCACTTTCGTGGGCTTCTGCCAGGCACGGCGGAGGTGCAGGGCAGCGCAGATCACATCGTGACCTCGCTGCTCCCTCGGGGGCAGCGAACTGCGCAGCTGTCGCCAGTTTCGCGGGCTTCTGCGAGGCACGGCGGAGGTGCAGGACAGTGCCGACCGTGCATATCTCGCGATGTTTTCGTGTATGGAGCGTTCATGCAAAAAGTCGCCTCGCGTGGAGACGGGTTTGGGTACGTCTCTCCTCTCCGTCTCCTTCCTCCGTATCGGCCGCACCGCTCCCCAGACCTCCGTCGTCGTGTTTTCTTCACAACTTCGACCCCCAGAGGTCCAGAGACCCCTTCCCCGGGACCGGTTTTTGGTACTGAGTTGTTTTTTACGGACCCGAGGCCCGGGAAGGGCCCCCTGATGCCGAATATAACGAAAAACATCGCGTCGTTTTTTTGACAACGCGAGGAGGTCTAGGTCACACGATGTGTGCTCCATACGGAGCTCCACCTATGGCCCAAGTGACAGCGGCCGCATGCGGTACACCCTCCTCCTCCTCCTCCTCCTCCTCCTCCTCCTCCTCCTCCTCCTCCTCCTCCTCCCTCCTCCTTCTCCTCCTCCTCCTCCTCCTCCTCCTCCTCCTCCTCCTCCTCCTCCTCGTCCTCCTCCTCCTCCACACCTGTGGCCCCGTGGGGAGCTCCACAGGAGGCCCACTGGCCCCAGTGGGGGAGCTTCACCGAAGGCCCCAGCGGCAGCGGTCGCATGGCGGAGATCGGGTCCACTTCGGCACGCCGCTCACGCGTTCCTTGGCTCCGTCGGGAGCTCCACCGCTTGTCAACCGAACTTCTCGTTCCTAACCCCCATGCTAGAATCCGTCACCGTCCTGTTCGTCCATGCCCCAGTACTCTTACTCGACCCCAGCCTTCTTGTTATCTGTCTTGCGGTACTCGCATCTCGCTTTTCAAACGCACTTCTCATTCCTGACCCCCATGCTAGAATTCGTCACCGTCCTGCTCATCCACGTACCAGTCCTCTCACTCGACCCCAGCCTTCTTGCTATCTGTCCTGCGGTACCCGCGCGCGGATAATTCCTGATCTCGGCCTCCTGGGCTGGCCCCCAGGACTCACGTCGATGGCCCAAGAGGTCCCCATCTTACACAGTGGAGACCCATGCCTAGAAACACTCTGCCTCCAGGGTGCCCTGGGTTTCTTGGGTTTCGATGGTTTTGCGAGGGCAGGCGTGACGCTCCCACTCCAAACATCGATGGACGTCCTGGGGTTCCAGGCTTGGTTTTCTCGTGGACGGTTTCCTGTGGACTGGCCTCCACTGTAGGGCACGCTGGAAGACTGGATTCTGAACTGCGCGCTCCCGAGGTCTCAGGACAGCCACGACCCCCAATTATTAAGTCGGGCGTGTCCCCCTACAGGGGGAGCTTCGACGAAAAATGAAAAAATTGGGAACATAGTCAAACATAGTCCAAAACTAGCCCGGGGACTATTTTTTGAGCATTTGTTCGCCTTTTTCTTGTATTTTTGGGCTATCTTTTTTATTTTTCGTCGAAGATCCCCCGACTTAACCCGATTCCTGAGGAGCGCCCGCGAGCGGCCGGGCATCCCCCCACCTCGGGGCACGGGGCCCTCGGATGGCACCTGCCATGCTCGCTGCCGAGAGCTCGAAACGGGGGCCACGTGCGAACACTGCCCCTAATGACCCCCCGCGGCTTCTGAGGGGGGGGGGGGGGCCCAGACCCCCTCGAGCAATGAAAAAATCATGACGGGAGGTTTTTCCTAATTTTCGGCCTCGGGGGGCCCTCACCGGGCCTCGGGAGTGTCAAAAAACGACTCAGGATGCAAAGCCGGTCATGGAGAAAGGGTCGGGACCTACGGGGTCGACGTAATGAAAAAATCATTACGTCGGGGGTCTGGGGGGTTCACTTCGTTCGGGAGCTCCCAAGCGAAGCGAACCCCCCCCCTCCCCCTCGGAAATCGCGGGGGGTAGGGGCAGGGTTCGCACGCGGTCCCCTCTCGAAGGGGCCCGGGGGCGCCCCGGCCCGTGCCTGTGGTGGCACGGTGGCGGATCTGAGCGACGTCCGGTACAGCTGGGACGAGAGCCAGTGCGCCAGCCTCGTCCAGTTCAACGCAACGGTCGACGACGGACTGCACGAACCGTGGCCCCTGCGAGCGCTTATACAGCTGGAAGGGTGCAGGGGCTACAATCTGACGTGGTCAGGAGATCCTGTCCAGGTCGAGGAGGACTCCGAGGCCAGCGTGGCAGGCATCAACATCACGACCTACGATGACGACGTGTTCCTCCTGGTGGATGTGAAGCACCCGCCGAACGTGCTTGGCGACTGCAGACTGACCTTCAACTTCTCCGAGGCGCTGGAGCCCTACCAGGCTGGCCGCGAGTGCCACCTCGACGGGACTGTCGCCGACCTCGCCCGAACGTTGCCCCTGATCACTTACAGGCCGCCGCCGAACTGGTTTGGGCAGTTGGAGCTGCAGGTTGTGGTGCAGAGGGTGCGACTGGAGGACGCGGTGTTGCAAACCCTCTCCAGCCTGTCTGCGGCCTGGCCGGCCGAGACTATGTCTGTGGTGGTGCAGGTGGCTGGCGTCAACGACAGGCCGCTCCTGGATATCTACCAGGACAGGCAGGCGATACCGGAGGACCCTGGGGAGCCCGTCCTGCTGAGCCCGCTGTTCGTCACCGACGCCGACGCCGGGAGCAGCCCGCTGGAGCTCACCTTCGACCTGGCGGAGGGCCACGACGACAACCGGCTCCACATGTGCGGCCTCTTCCAGGTCGACCTCCGGGAGCCTCTGGAGCACACGCTCGACGAGGGCGGCTGCCTCCCAGGGGGCGCCTCCCGGCTGCGCTTCCGGGCCACGCTGGAGGCCTTCAACAGCATGCAGGCCGGGGCGGGGCGCCTCCGCTTCCTGCCCGCGCCCGACTGGCACGGCGCCGCGCTGGTGAACATCACGGTGGACGACCTGGGCAGCGGCCTGGGCGAGGCCGCGAGGCAGACCGCGTCCCGGGCCCTGCACCTCGCCGTGGAGCCGGCGGTGGACCCGCCGAGGGTGCGCTTCCTGTGCGAGGGCGCCGCCCCGCTGGTCTCCTACGGCTCCGCCTGCCTGGAGGTGCGAGGCTGCCTCGAGCTGTCGGCTGGCGCAGATGACCTCGACGAGGACACCTCCATGTGGCTGTCCGTTTCGATCAGCGAGCCCAGCGCGGCTCTGTCCTTGGAGGATGCCGCGCCAGTGCGGGTGTGGAACGAGGGCACCGCCTCGTTGCGAGTGCTCGGACTGTACCGGAACGTTCGGGACTCTCTTGGCGCATTGGTCATCCGCCCACCACCTGGAATATTTTCTGGCAAGGAAGACCCCGAAGTGCTCTCGTACGAGATTTCCGTTGCCGTCGTTGCCCTGGGGCAGCTGTTCAACGATCCGTTGCCGTCTTCGTTCGACGATTACCCTAACGACAGTCTCACCTTCCCGGTCGAGTTCCGCAGGGTGAACGAGGCGCCCAGGATATTTTCGGACATTGTCTATTTCTCAGCTTCGCAGCTCAACCCGTCTGTCGGCTTACCTGGACTGTTCGTTCTCGACGCAGACGCGCATGATGACGATTTGGTGGAGATCACTTTCGAGGTGGATCCAACCAGTGCGGGCGGAGCGGTGTCTTTCGCTGGCTGGCAGGACGTGTCGATCACTAGGCGGATGAACTTATCAGATCTCAACCAGGAGTTGCACGACCTAAGCTTTACCTTCCAGGATGATTCCTGGTTCGGTGTCACTGCTTTGACGGTCAGCGTTACCGATCTGGGACACCGCGGTTGGAATGTCAAGGGATACAAAAGCACACGCCATCAAGAAACGAAGCCTCAGGTGTTGTCCTTGCGTGGAGGCTCAGTCAGCCTTTTACCAGACGACACATATCAGTACTTCTCCCTTTTCTCCGGGGACTTCACATGGGAGGTATTCTGCAAGCGCCTTTTGCCCAGCCTTACAGACACGACCCTAGGCACGACAGCATCTCTGTTCACGCAGCCTAGCTCGGCTACGCCGGCATCCGACATCCTCTTCAGGAATCTGCCGCTGGGTGTGGACATCAACAGCACGGACTTCAGCAGCAAGTTCGTGGAGGGTGCGGGCAGGAACGACAGCAACGTCTCTGGACCACCCGTCGTCTCCATTGAGATTGATGTCGACGGCTACCCCACCGTCCTCCTCAGATCGGACGCCGGGCTCGAGGTGTTCGAACGTGGCGGCACGAGGCTCGCAGTCGGCACCTGGCACCACCTGGCGCTGGTGGTCCGGCGCTCGGGGCACGCAGAGGCTCCGGGCAAGCCCAGCGACACCACGCTCGGCGAGGCCGCCCTCCTCTGCGTCCTCCTCGTTCTGCTCCTCCTGCTCCCCAATCTCTGCGCACGCGAGCACCTCCGCCGCCTCCCCCGCAATCCGGGCGGTGCATTTGCTTTCACTCTGGCCGTTTTCGGCCAGTGCCGGGCCCCAGGAACACCACAGATCGATGCAGCTCGATAAATGCGGCAGAAAGATGGGGTCTAGGGCTCCAGTCGTGACATGTCGCATTGATGCTGCAATGGTTCTGCAGCGTCGGATCTCAGGGTCCGTTGATGCCCGCTTCTTTGCAAGTAATTATATGAGTGGGGTTATGTTTCTCCTCCTCTTCTTCTCCCCACTCCTCCCTCCTCCTAACCTGACCTGGCTCTCACCGCGACCTTTGTCCTGAATTTATGTTACCTCTGCCAGGGGGGGAGGCAGGCCTTCGAGCTGTCGGTGAGAATGATTGAGCTGTGTTGTCCTGTGATGGAGGTCGTACTTTACAGCCCACTTGCTGCTTCCAGCATTAAACACATAGAACAATACCAAAATAAGAAAGACCAGTAACATACAATACAAGCAAACCTGCTGCTTCCACCAACGAACGACTGAAGGCCATCAGTCATGAACTGACAGACTGGGACATCATACTATTATGATGTGGGTCGCAGAAGGGGGCAGGATTGGAGGGATGTGTGGCGACTCGCCTGCGGCACCTCTGGGGGCTGAGTCTCGGAGGCAGGAAGGGACCGGTTACCTAGATGAAACCCCTGTAGCACGTGTCTCGATGGCCCACCCAAGCCTACGACGCCCCATGGGCAACCGCCGACGCCAGCTATACGGTCGGGGGCACTACGCGTATAAGACCGACGAGGCAGCCAACAACAACGCGCCCCTAGCCAACGGCTTACTACTTCAATTCCTTTGCCTGGACAGCGCGCGGCCCACGACGGGCGGCAGCAGTGCAGCATGTGCTGCATGGACATGCCCGGGCAGCCCAAGAGCGGGCAGGGGCAGGCGGTGGGAGACATGCAGGCGGTGGGACAATGCAAGTGCGCACTTCGCAGGGCGCGCGAGACCATCACAGCAGCGATTTGATTCTCAACGAACAAGCGGTGGACCTGGGCTCCCACGCCAGGGGGGCCGCAGAACCAGATGCGCGGGCTCATCTTGATGCCCAGTCAGGTGCGACGCGGGA